GTATTAATAATCCATTTAGGATAGAAAAATAAATTAAAAAATGCCAAATTTTATGAGTATCATCGATATTATTGTATATAATAAGAGAAAGTAGTAAAAAAAACGACCTATAATTCCTTACTGCCATAAATGGAAAGTTTCTGTACGTTAAATTAAGAGTAAAAAGTTTATATAGATTAATTGATAAATTGATATCATTTGATAAAGTTTTAATTTCAAATATCTTGATTATTAACAAAATACTTACTATCTTCAACGCATCGGCCATTAATACATTTTCCTTTTAAGCCACAATTAGAAGTTATGGATCTGAATTTATATTCGGATAATTCTATATTCCGATCGCAAGATAGACCGAATATTGAATAACATCGACCCTGTTTATTAAGTACAATTAATAATTTAAAACGAAAAAACAAATATGAGGAATCTGTTGAAACGATTTGATATCTGAAAATTCCCCATTATTAATTAGCTATTCATTTGGTAATAGTTCCATACCGTCTTAATGTAAATGAAATATTAGAAGAATGAATTGAAAAAATCATAAATTTACCTTATAGCATCTGAAATTAGCGTTACATTTAACCTCTTCACAGTTATATGACGCTATTGCATTGCTCTCAGTGTAGCATTCATTAGTTACACAAGTAAAATTCAGTGGACATTCAAATTGGCCAAATATGGGAGGACAAAGCACTCCAAAGGTGTCATTCACGATGTATGCAAAGAGTATAAGAACTAGAAACATCTGCACTCTGAAATTAATTAATTAATTGAAGTAATGATATCAAAATATGGTATTTAAGAGATTTATCGTATTATTTCTAAATGATTAAAATGCTTAAATAAATAAGAATTAAGGAAAATATGGCACAAATTATAAATGCTTCATACAAGCCGAAGAAAATTGCCAAAGCGTTGTTACTCAAGTTAAAACAATGGTGAATAGTACGAGCATGAGTATCTATAACTTTATGAGCGGTTGCCAGAGAGTTAAAATTTAAATAATCTAATTAAAAGAGAAATTGTCTATTTAAAAAGAAGAAAAAAGCAAACCGCATTTTCGGTGATGTTGAAAATGATAATAAATATATTGTTGATAGTATAGTAATCTTGTGATAAGGAATTGATTCGTAACTATGTGTGAATACAAGTCTACAACTGATAACATCAAAATAATTCAAAAACCTGATAATTTTGTGTGTGCTTTATCAAAATAGAAAAAGCGAACAGGGATATTTGTTTGCTTATGGTATATTCCATACTGTTGATTTTATCACTACCTAAGATAGTATCACATGACAAAACCTTAACTTGTAATTAAATTAAGAGAAATTTGGCAACGATTCTATTCACCAATATTAAAAATCGATGGAAATTTTCATTAAAATTAAAGTTAGCGACTCTCATTATGTACAATAATAAATCAGTCAGTAGCTGTATTGCGGGTGAAAATAATAAAATGGGTTAGATGGTGTAGTTTCATCGCTCTAAATTGATGAAACACTTTGCTATGCGGAGATCACTTTTAAAATAATTGTGTAATTTGAAAATATGAAATGAAGGGAAATTAATCGCCAGCAAATGAAAAAAATAAATTGATGTTGTTAGCTTGAGGTTGTGAATTTTGTAATGTTTACTTTCATAGGCAAATAAAACAGCATAAAAGTGCTAATTGCTAATTGGAGTACTTCTAAATATTGTATCAAAGTAATATCCAAAATTTTTTAAATTTTGAACTTTAAAAGAAACAAAAATCTGAAATTTATGAGCAAATTAAATTGGACATCGAACTTTTCAAAATTCTGGATACGTAGTACCAAAACAGTACCAAAATTTAGCTCGAAAAAAAACTTCGTTGAATAAAGTTAACAGTTTTAGTATTGTGTTGAAATAAAATGAATTTTTCAAATTATAGTAATCCGATTTTGCTTCTGAATATAATTGAGAAGTAATGATTAATTTGCAACAAACTGTATAATCTAAACGCTATTCAAGAAAATTTTACAGTGTATTATTGTTAGCTGTCAAAATTCGCTAAAAGCCCTTTCAATAATTTTTCAACGATAACATCACTGATCAACAAATGATAATTGCTAAATTTAGCATGAAGCTTATATGTAGTGTGAGATATTAATTATGGATGAAAAATGAGAGAAATGAAAGTAATTAGGTAGCGGTTGCTATGGTTGTCAGAAGCATATCAAGCGAATCTTCATTGTTAAAAAAGTCTCATCCATCTTCTCAGTTACTTTACTATTTTATCTCGTCATCTTGTTTTTTACTCAATTTTGAATATTTATTTTAAAATTTGCAGATCGAAAAGTGTTTTTTCTAAAAAAAAATTATGGATTCACGAGAAGAGCGTATTATCTCATATCTCAATTCACATCCAAAATTCTTGGAAAATTATGCTACCGGACCAAGCGTTACCAATGAAGTATTCCATCGATGGTGCTCAAGGCGGAGTTCAAAAATAAAAAAGGCCTTGAAAGATATGAATGGACCGTGGATGGTAAGCAAAATTTAGCATATTCCTCATTCATAATTATTATTTAATAAAAGAATAATCTTTGTATTTAAATACGCATTTTTTTAATTGATAAATTTTATTATTAATATTTAGATGAGCTTTTTTTAAACATAGAAATTAATAAGTGAAGGTAAATGAAATAGATTATGAATATTCTTCTTTCTTCATCATTCATTAGATTCGTAATAACATATTATTAATACTAATTAAAATAAAATATTAATATAAACATTCATAAAATTCATTGCACATATCATTTTCTAAACATTTCAGGCAGATGACTTATCGGATTTCCACAATTTGCTTACCTCCAATGGTAACAATGTGCCTCTTATTCTATATGAATTGGGTCATGCTTGTGCACAATTAACTCATAATGAATTGTTTGATGTGATAATGTACAACGATAATAATGCTTACTTCATTAAGCGGACAGAAACTAATGTCCGGCTAAAGCAAGTGACCAAGGAGAAACGATTGCCTACTTATACGAAAAAAGTAGAAAATTACTCGGGAGTCTTACTCGGTTAACTTCTTACTGCTTTTTTTTATTATTCATCATTATCATTATCATTATCGATTGTTAATTATTTTGTTATGGTCATTATTATTATTGTTATAATTACTATTACTATTATTATCAAATTATTAATTATTATTAACGGATGTTAATTATTGTTGCCATTATTATTGTTATTATTACTGTTATTATTATTGTTATAATTTTAATTACAATTGTAATAATAATTAATTATTATCAATCACAATCACATTCATTAAGACCAGAGAAATTATTTTTGGAGTGGAAAAATGTGCTGTGGAAGACTTTGGAATTTTAGAGTTTAATAAGTTTATTGTTAAAAATAATCTTTAATTATATCCCTCACATTCTTAGATATTTTAGACATACACAGTTCAAGACATTCAAATATATATTTTAAAGCGAAAATATTATTATCAAAATGACAAAATAAATGCAACTATTTTCATTTTTTTTAAAAGAGAAAAATTTTTATTTTATATTTATAGGAGAAATTCATTTCTATCGTTCACTCACCGAACAAGATCATATTTCCATTAATATCCTCTGTACCTGGGGTAGTGCTCTTCTCTACTATGCACAGGTATTCATTTTATTATTATCCACTTTTTCCCCAACTAATCTTCAATTCACTTTTTTTTTCAAAATTCACAGATATGCGAATTTCGAAAATGTAAACTGATTGATGCGGAATTTCGAAAGTTTCCATTTTGAACAATTCAAAAAATAACTTTTACATCTTCACATTTTTTTTTTTGTTTTATCTCATAGATTAATCGCAAATAATTTAGCTAACAACAAGCAAAGATGATGAAGCATGTTCGTGGTATAACAATGAACAACGAAAATTAAACACTTTTCTGCTTGATATAGTGAAGTAAGTCCTTTGAAATGCTATGTCAAAACAGTTCATAACTCTTCCTGTTATTAGATCCATATTTCAGGATATTGTCAGTATGGATACTGTTATCATAAAAGTTATGGTAAGTGATTTCATCGTAATTTTATCAAATGATTTATGATTTTGATTTTGAATGATACTTTTTTCTTTTTTTTTTTAATAATTTAAACTGCAAGAAATAGCGTGATGGCAGAAAAGAAGAGGACGAAATTTATTAAAGATAAATGCGGATGCTATATTTCATTTAAAATTGAAATATAGCATTTGCATGAAATCTTCAATATTTTCAGAATTTCGCTCAAAAGTTGACAAATGCAGATCGATCTTCGCTCTTTCTTGTAGATCATAAAAGAAAAGAATTGTATGCAAGAATCTTTGATGTGGGTACTCAACCGGATGAACAAATTAAAATTAATGAAGATGGTAATGAGGAGATTAGGTAACAAACAATTATTTAAATCTCTCTATTTACTTCGATAAGAGTTCGAAATTTAACTTGAAATAATGCAAAGTGAAAGGAACAATTATTATAGATTGATTATTCAAATATGTTTAGACTTAGACACTTTCAATGGAAACTGTTTGGCCTAAAAATTGCAAAGAGGAATAAAAAAATTTAGGGATTTCTAGGCATAAATACTTTAATACAAATAACAAATCAGTGAGAATGATCAATGAATTTGATAACTAATGAATCATGTATGGAAATCTCTAAAATCTAAACATTCTAGAAGCCTTTCATGTGCTTTGGTCATTCATTTTCAAATGATCTTAATGATAGTCAGATTGATCCTCATTTTACAATTCTATCAATTTTATAGATTCTCAGCCAATAAAGGTATCGGTGGATATGTTGCTATGACAGGACAAGTTCTCAATATCGAAAATGCCTATGAGGACCCGCGATTCAACAAAGAAATTGACCAGAAGACGGGTTATAGAACCAGGAATATCCTTTGTATGCCCATTTTTATTAAGAAATCGTAAGTTCTCACTTATTTAAATACAATGAGTTTAAATTCAAATTTCGAATTTTCATTAATATTTGATTTGTCTTTCAGTTTTTTTTTCAACATTATCGAGAATGATACATTATTAGGCTCTAGCAATGATGACACATTACCAGGCTCTGGTTATTTCATACTCAAATCACATTTCAATGAAAATGCAACAAGATGTGTTTTTATTCCTGAGAATTTCTAGAGTGCTTTTCGATTACATATTTTATACATTGCTGATTTAATGATTGCAGTGTAATTGGTGTGGTACAAATGATTAACAAAGCAGATGGGCCTTTTACACAACAGGACCAAAATTCTTTCGAAACATTCGCCGTATACTGTGGCCTAGCATTGCATCATGCCAAGCTTTATAATCAGATAAGACGTTCCGAACAGGTTCTTGTTAGACAAACTTATACATTGTTAAAAGTATCTATGATTTATTGATATAGGATAGAGTAACCTGATATTGCTAATTATTAAGCTAAAAAACAAAATAAGCGTTAAGAGAAATGAATTGAAAAGAGCTTAATGAGAGCTACGATAATAAAAGATTTTGAAAGTTTTCAAATTCGATCACTCTTAGCTGTAAAAATCTAATTTCATCTAACACGAATTTTTCATAATGTCAACTTAGAGATATGATTTTTTTTCTTGCATAAAATAATTAACTGCAAAATATATGCAGAAATATCGAGTGGCATTAGAAGTATTGTCATATCATAGTGTATGCAGTAAAGAGGAGGTGAACAAGCTGAAAAGTATCACAATTGAAGATGATATCACAGAATTGGACAAGTTTGTCAACTCTTTTCATCTGCAAATTTCATTTATAATTTAATTTTGATTTTAATGCAACAATCAATCATATATTATTTTCAATTCTATGCAGTTCTAACTATCATCCGCGAATACATATGTGCATTTTCTGAAGCGCTATTCATTGGTGGTATTTTTCATCACTTGTTTTTTGTGTACTCATCATAGTGTGTGACTGTAAACACAGAGAGAGAAAAAGAGAGAGAGAGAGAGGTAAAAATTCTTCAATAAAAAAAAGGATGAAAAAATGACATACTTAATATAACGATAATTGCTACGTTTTTTTTTCATAGGTTTGAATTCAATGGATTTCAATTAACAGAGCTTGAAAAGCCGCTTTATGCTATTTATATGTTTCGAACGTTATTTAAAGGGAAATTGTAAGCTTATCATTATACATATTGATAATTGATTATAATTACCATCTATTACTCATGCATTTTATGAAATAAACAATTGTTTATTTTGTTTGAGAAATTTAATTAGCTGGAGTGTGAGTTGAAGTGTTATATTTGTGCCATTTTGAGATCATTATTTCAGCAATTATGATGAGGATGATTTGATTCGTTTCGTACTTACTGTACGTAAGAATTACCGTCAAGTAGTGTATCATAATTGGGCACATGGATGGAGCGTAGCGCAAGCTATGTATTGCTTACTTCGATCCACTACAATTTTTGATTTAAAACAGGTGCTTCTTTTCATTTATTTCGATTTTTTATTTTAACTTATAAACAAGAATTAAAAGAAGGGAAATGAAGAGTAAAAAACAAAAATCTATTGGATGTTGACGAATTGTTTTTGCTTATCAATTAAAATAGGACATCAAATTATGATAAGAGTCAAAAACAATGATGTGAGATGTCAGATTATCATTCTCTTAGAAACTCGTACTGATTATCTCTCAAAAGTTTTGGCTTCGAATTTTGCAATCTTTGAGAATATAAGTTTGTGAAGTTAAACTTTATTCGCATCACCGATAAACTTTACTGATCATAAAATTACGATATTTCCTGCAATATCGCTCCTGATGTTAGAAGTGTCGATGAGAATATTAGCGATTTTATTTTATCATGAAGTAACTGCAATGAGGGAAATTATATTAACTTTCGATCATTATGATAATTCCAAGTAGAATCTATAATTATCAAGATATTTTTAAATCCGATTTAACCCGTAATATATTTTTTTTTCAAATTTCAGTGTAAAATTACTCATAACGATTATTTAAAATATAGTCCCCAATAACTATAGAAGTTTACTGCTTATGAGAAATAATTTATTTTACAGTCTCTTGCACTCTACATGGCTTGCTTGTGCCATGATCTCGACCATCGTGGCAAGAATAATGCCTATATGATATCGATGAGTAGTCCATTGGCATCAATTTATTCAACATCAGTGTTGGAGCATCATCATTTCAATCAGACTGTTATTATTTTACAACAGGTCTTCATCCTTTCTCCTTCCTTTAATTTTCATTTGAATGCAACAAATTCTAGTATAATAAATTTCCTTTTAAGGTCATTGCAGCATATTTCAGGTTGGACATAATATTCTTAAATCTTTCTCCTCAGAGGAATACAAGGAGATATTGGGTATTATTAAGCATTGCATATTAGCCACTGATCTGGCAGTATTTGCTAATAATAAGACGGAATTGGAAGCAATTCTAGCTAACGGTACCTTCAGTTGGGATAATGAAGATCATCGGTAAGGGATCAACTATTCGGGAATTGACATTTTCCGAATTTCTTTTACACTCGAGATTCACAAATCATTCAACTTTTAGTCAGTTTTAGGCTTTTAATGACAGCTATTTTAATGACTGGTTGCGATATAATTGCGGCATCGAAACCATGGAATGTTCACACGGAAGCTGTGAAAATAATATTCGAAGAATTTTATGAACAAGTTAGTCGTTTTGTCATCTCTAATACCTTTTTTCATATTCATTAATTCGGCATAATGATTTAATTTATTCTCGCGGATATTCAAGTAGAGAAAATTTTCATGAGGAAAATTGATCTTACTAACAGGCATGATTTGAATTGTGCTACAGAATAATTGAAAAGCAATTTTTTTTTTACAGTACTTGAAATTTTACTCTTTATAACCGACAAACTTGAATATCTTATATTATTAACTTTAATTTTTTACAAAACAAATCAAGTTATTTTTTTATTAATGGAGATTGTGTGCAAAAAAAAAATTTAGTAAGAAATAAAAATTATGTGATATAAGGAAATTCAGATGAAATTGGACAAATTGGACGTATCTATAGATTTCAAGTTTATCCGTGATGACTATTCCAATCTTCTGCTATTGATTACAATTCATTATTTTAAATATTATTAAATAGGGAGATGCGGAACGACGAAATGGACAAGTACCGATTGCATTGATGGATCGAGAGAAAGCAAACGAACTACCGCAAATGCAAGTGACTTTCATGAAGGATATCTGCATCCCATGTTATGAGCTGATCGTCATGGCGGTACCGGAATGTCAACAATTACTCGACCGCTGTTTGTAAGTGTTTCCATCTCTTTAATTATCATTCTCAAACAAGAAGGAAAGAGAGAGAGAGAGAGAGAGAGAGAGAGAGAGAGAGAGAGAGAGAGAGTGAGAGAGAGAGTGAGAAATGTTTGAAGCGATATAATCAATCAGTAAGAATTCGCTGATATTCACATCGAAATTTAAGGTACAATATGAAGAAATGGCAGGAATTGGCTGATGAGCAAAAAAAAAACGGAACTTAAAGATTAATTTAACCAATTTTGGTGCGCATTTGTATGTAAGTTAACAAATAAAACATATCAATTATTTCCATTTTTGATCACAGCGAATGCGCAATAAACAAACGAGGATACACTAAATATAATCGTATTGTTAATAATGAATAAAATGTCAATATAATCACAAATTTTGCGAAATTCAAAATAAAACATAAACATATTATACATATTTAATTTGAACATATATTCTTCTAATTGTTAGCTTCATAATGAGGAATTCATCAACTCATAAATTATGAACAAGTTGAATTGTTGGAATGAAGCAGCGATAATAACAATAACAATAATACTAATATTGTTGTGATTATAATAGTGATAACATTTAAATCAATATACACGGGTTTTACACTTATACACAATGCTAATTTGTTAAGTGCTATATCCGCCGATACGGATTAACAAAAATAGTGCATATCAGAGGATGCTAAAAGATAAAACAAAGCCTAACATTTGAAACTATATTATTGTTCATCAATATTTTTAGTTAAAATTCAATATCAAAATAGGAAGAAAAATATCACTTTATACCACCATATCGACAAAGGATCAAAGAATAAGGCCTAATATAAAAACAACGAATATACGACAGTAATATCGGATCTCTTCGTTTCGATCGTTTCACTTCTTCTCCATTTAACTGCACAATTGAAACTGATGCATAAATATGCCATGTTTTCTTTCCGTTAAATTGAACACATAGCTTATTAACTTCTCTCATAAATTAGATTGAGGCATAAAATATATTGAAATTACTCAATTAAGAATGCGTAATTGTATGAATGCATTCTGTGCTTTATGGCTAAATTCGATTTCTGTAAGAACAGATGGAATATACGGAGAGATGAACGAAGAGAGGATTTGGTCACATCATGCTAACTAAATTAGAAATGCAGAAGAGAAGAAATTACTAAAAACGTTGCCTTTTTTTCTGAGGATTAATTTAAAAAATAGTGAAATCTAAAAATTCCCATTGTTAAAAAGATAAAGCCAATTCGCTAATTCAGCCAATTTTTCCTCTTACAAATCGCATGGAGCAGAACTTCGTAAAACGATGAGTAATCATACGAATAAATGAGCATCAATGCTCCCAATAACATATGGACTGATCAATATAAGATATACAAGGTCTATTTTGGCCTATTTCTTAGGCCTATTTTTGTGCACATAAGAAGAGAGAAGAAAGATTCATTCCTTATGTTCATTTCTAACAGATGCGCTATATTACACTTCTAAATCAATGTACTGGCGCAACTGTCCTTAACCTACTTTCTTTCTCTAACTGTTTCCGCTCACGTTCAATTTTCGATTTAATAGCTTTTATCTTTTTCTTGATTACAGCACGATCGGAATGATTCTGAATACCCATTGCCTAAAAGGGAAATAATTATTGTGAGAAAAAATTTGGTACAATAATCAAAACCAAACCTTTCAAAAATATTGTCTATTTTATTTGAAAAGAATGCGTAATTGCACGAATGCATTCTATGAATTATTTTAATCAGTATATTTTATCAAAAAATGCCTACTCTTATTAGTCTCTATTTTCTTTACATTCATTAATCTTTATTTATTACGTAAAGATTATTTACTTTTTCGTATAAATCATTTATTTCATTTTGAAAAAGTTTGTTTCAGCATAAAAAAATCTGTTCAGCTATTTCGTCAGCATTTTTGCGAAATTAAATCCGAATTAAAAGTAGTGAGCAGAAAGCGGCAACATTAATTCCTACCATAAAAACAACAATAAAAGTAAATTATTCTTGATGGCGATAAATAATTCCAAAATTTTCGTTTTATAATTCTTCTTGAGAAAATATTTCAAAAACAAATATCTTCGCTTTGCATCATTTTTTCAATTTAAATTGAAACTCATTAAAAAATTTGCAGATAACGACGAACAATGCTAGCAACTTTCAATTTAAACTATGTTTAAATGAAACTTTCATCAACAATTAAAGATAAGAGTGATTACGATTTTTCTAGTTTAGATTATGAACTGTTTCCATAATTCGACCATGAAAATCTTTGCATAGCCTGAGACAAATAAAATGATGTCAACTTTAGAATTGATCTCGAAAACACATTAGATTTTAAATTATATCGAAGTTAGTTCGTTGAAAATGATTGAAAATATTGAGTTATTCGAACTTACCATGACCAAATGGGAAATCAGTTACGCTACCACAATTTATTCGATTTGCCCACTCAATCATGGTACCATAACAGACTGTCACATATTTCGCAATTTTACAGTATAAATCGTTATGGCAGAATATGTTGTTTTACAAAAAATTGTGACTTTTCCAAATAGATTTTGGATAGCAAAAAATGTCAGACAATTTCACAACAGTTCTAATTGTATGAATAATTTTTAATTTCTGATTGAATTTACGTCTAACACTAATTTACTAATAATTGAAATTTCTAGCAAGAATAGAGAACTATTTTTCTCAAAAATCTTTTTGTATGATTTAGATAAATGTTTAGCCTTGGAGTACAAATTTGCCCTTCAATATTCAGTGTCCTCCACTTCACGATGGATGACTTGATAAAAGAGAGATAAAAATTTTAGATTGACCACACAGGAAGCGCACAATTTTACTTTTTTTCAGAATGATTAATAGAAGTTGCAAACAAAATGCCAACCGATGAGATTAAAATTAACCGTACATTACAAACATATCATCAATACATGTAAAACAATTTTCACATTTTTGTGTAATTAATGCCACCTCTATTACGATTTCCTAATTTCAAATTCAACATTTTTTTCTAATTTATTTTCTCAATCATTAATTTCAAACAAATTTAACGCTGTGCAAATGCAAAATGGTTGCCCCAATTTATTGAACAGATAAGTAATTAATTTAAGAATACTATTTGAAATATTTGTAAAAAGTGAAAAAATATGAGAAGAAATGAAATAAAGATGGAATTTTGAGAATGTACGACAAAAAGATGGAAATAATAAAATAATGAATTTTGGTGGCAATCATTCTTTACGAAAGTAATGAATGACCACTGAATTGAGTGGCGCAGTTCCATATTGATAAATATATCTTCTTTCCTTTACACTACCGAGACGATATCTCCCGAGAGTGTCAAGGAAAGAAAATCAATCTATCAAGATCATACGAAATATAGTAGAAGGATTTGGTCTGTATTATTGAGGAATCTAACTATATCTAAATTGAAGTTAAAATGCAGTATATAATTTAGAATTAGTATGTATGTATATCAAAGATACATTATTTCAAAATGTGAGAGCCAAATTAGAATAAGCTATGTGGGAAAAAATTTGCATGATGGTTGATGGTTTTATTATGCTTTTATAATATATACAGTTTAATTTAGGAAACGAAAAGGAGATAAAAGAGATTCAGATCTTGAGTATATTTCCTGGTAAAATAACTGAATAGTATCTGAATAGTATTTTTTATGCAAACATTCGTTTTCTTTTAATAGAAAAAATTTAGTTACCTCAACAACCTCAACAAAATCATAAACTAACAATACCTTCAATTTGTTTCCATCCAAATCTAGAAACTTGGTACCATTGATTTGATTAACGGTAAATTCGGGAATGTATTTATCCAAACCCATTTGGATCAACAGCTGACAAACATCATCGCAAGTCCAGTGTAGCACCTGGAGCCCCTTAATGGTAGATTTAAATTTATCAAATTTAGTTATTTATCGTCTCGATTTCACTTTTTCCAAATTCACCATCACTAACTTCCTTTCCAGTCATGCATAAGCTTGACCAAAACCAATTCAACTCCTTGGAGCAAATTTACAGAAATCTTCCCACAGTTATTTTATAGGATAAGCGCGCTTATATAGTACCAATGTTCTCCACCTATTTATTTCCTTCACTTTTCCAAGACTGCAAGTTTTTATTAATACGTGATTGTATGATATCTTTCTATTGTATCACTTAAAGAAGCGACATATAGCAAAAAAAAATTCTATTCTTTGATTTACCCACAATTCAATGGGAATTTGATCATTATTATGGTACAAATACAATTGCAAATTACCTGAATGGACTGAAATGTATCGCGCCAGAATTCATGCTCCGCTGAAACTATAATTTTAATTTACTATTATACACAGGAATTGGATGACATTTTTTCCATATTCATCATCATTTCATTCATTAATTGATTTGATTGGAATTAATATCAAACTTACACAATCCGCTTTTCGACAATTTTCCCTTACAATAAATAATATTTTCCATTTTCAAACATTAAAGTCAACAGTATCTCTTAATTCATATTTTAACTTATCTGTCGAAAAAATTATTAAATTACTTGTGATATAACGTCTCCTTAACGGGAATAATATTCTGCGATGAGCGAATTTGTGAAGCATGGCTGGACTAGCTGGTTCCGAGATCCGTGGTATTGGACTGTCACGTGATGATTTCTGCTCATCAGATGCATCATCAGCAGCACTTTCACAAGCACTCTCGGTACCAGCAACACGACGATATGCTGATGTTGATGCTGACTTACCAGGCTGAAATATTGCTATACAGTGTGAAATGTGGGACGAAGAGGTATGAAATTGACTTCATTTGATAAGAAATCAAATCAATTATCATTAAAATGGAGTATCTTATCCTAAGGATTGAAGCAAAAAATATCTTAAATATGAAAAATTACCAAACTAGCCGTCTTAATAGCAAGAATTTTGGAAGATTTTGTAGAGTCATGATCCATTGGACATGTAGGTTTATAGGCTAAGGCAGGACTGACATCTCGAGCAGCTAACTGCTCTTTCAGCTCCGATAGCTCACCTTCCATCACAGTTGTACGTCTGAAATTTCACTTACGTATTTTATATGTACTGTCTGCCAATGGACATATATATTTTATACATTATTGATGTTTGGCTTCACTGGAATAATTAAAAAATAACAGTACAGTGCTTGGGAAGGATGCAAATATACCTTTGTG